AGTTAGGAGACTGTTGCATAGTTCAGATATCTCAGATATGAGTTATTTGGGGAATGAAAGTGGTTTTATAGTGGGGATGAAAATAAAGGGACATATTTTCTCACATCCAGTTAATTCTTGCTCTGCCCATCCCCTGTAATCACTAGTATACTAGACCTGTTGTTACAGCTTCTTATCTCAACCTGATTACTACTAGGGACTATCGGAGACTTTTTGCTTTACACCCATTCTCCCTTGCTCCCATCATGATTTCTTAGAACTGTTTCTAACTTCTTTTACTTCAGTGTTGACGTGAAACCTGTGAAAGTATCTGTAGCTCCTCATTCTCCATTGGCAGCTGCTGGGCACCTAATCTCTAACAATAATGATAGTTTTCAGCTCCTTTCTTTATTGTGCATTTGTTTTGTTTTGCCTTTTCCATCTGTCACCTGTTACTTCTCCTGGTTCAAATGAAAAAAACCTTCTTAATAGACACCAGTCAATCTTATGACAGAAGAACCAACCAGTTACATGTCATATATATTTGATGTCCTCTTCCCCCAAGCTGTTTACTGTTGGAGAGAAGAAATGCTAATTCTATTGGTCTAATAACCTGAGCTTTCTTGAAAGCTGGTAGATTTTTGTGTGTGTGTGTGAGTTTTTTTGTTGTTTTTTTTTACTTTTATTTGGTGCTGTTTGTATTTAGTAATTTGGAAATAAATATTTTAAGATCTTACTATCAAAAGAAATTTTCCAGGACAAAGCTCTTCTATTAATAATTTTTAAAGTTCTAAAAAGTCTTAGTTCGTCATAGCTTAGATGCATCCTTAAGTCCTCTTCATTCAAAGGTAGCTTTTAAAAAGTATTTGTAATTTGAACTTTGTATACCAGATACATATAAGTTTTCATTCATAAACTTTTTTGCCAAGAGTTCTGAAATGAAGGTGTGCTGAGAATATATATCTTTTAATTTATGAATTTAGATAACAGTTCAAATTGCATATTCCTGAACAATTGACTCAATTTAGTCTTTTCAAGTATAATAGGTGAACCTATTTCTTTTTGTTTTGTTTTGTTAATCCTCACCTGAGTATATATTTTTGCACTGATTTTTAGAGAGTGTGAAAGAGAGGGAGGGAGTATGAAAGAGAGAGGGACAGAGAGAGAGAGATGGATTGGTTGCCTCCCACACGCCCCAACCAGGGCTGGGTATCGAACCTGCAATTCAGGTACATGCCCTTAATCAGGGATTGAACTCTCCACCCTTCGATGTATGGGCTGATGCTCTAACCATTGAGTACACCGGCCAGGGCAGGTAGACCTATTTCTTAATGCACAGGTTTCAGATTTCAACTCTCATTGAAGATATGTCTGAACACCTTTGTTCCTTTGGTAAATTAAAGCTGAGTATTCTTCATGTATGTGTCCAAGCTTGAATTTTCCCTGCTATTTAAATTACATAAGAAGATAATACTTTATTAACAGATTTGAAAATGATATTTTTGATTTGGTAACTGTACATTAAAATGCAGATTGAAAGTTAGCTACACATTAAAGTATCAAATATAGACCAGCAACTGCTTTACTCTACCTTATTCTGGTATCTCAGATATTTTGCTTTAAAAAAAAAGGTTCAACTGGTTTATTTAGACAAATTTTGCATTTGATTCCTAAATGATAAGGTATGAGGCTTCTAGTTGCAAACACTTCCTCACAAATAATGCGTTAGTTGTGTGGATAATCTTCATTTCTAATAAATAAAAAGCCGACTAAATTTAGTCATCATTATATTTTTTTCTTTTTCACATGGATATTTGAAGTATTGTGTTATCTTGATATGCTGAAACAAATTGTGGTCAAATGAATGCAATTTATAGATCTGATAGTGAAGAAGAAAATGTTCAGAATTGTTATTGTTTTTATTTCTAATAACATATACTTTGGTAATAGTATTTATTACACTTTTAGTCGTTAGCCTGTTTTGATTTTAAATTAAACAGCATAGGATTTGGCCAGAAATTTGAAATTGATTAGCAGTATTTGGCTGAGTAATAAACTGACTGATCAATTTAATCATGCACTTCATGTGACTTAAACCCCATAACCAATATGCATGTTCACTCCGTTTGTCTTAAAGTTTATTTTACTATTCCTGTTTTAATGAGGAAATCCTTTAGATAATTCTCTTAATTTTTATTCTGTTTCATTTTTTTTTTAATCAAGGTGCATACACATAACCAAATCCCAGGTGAAGATGTAGGACAGACATTCAAGCAATACAGCAGGTTTCCTCATGTTGCATCCCTGACATTTTTGTGCTCAAAGACCAACACAGATGAATCTTGCCTTTTACTGAGCTTCTGGCCTCTGTCTTTCAACACACTCTTTGTGAGATTCATCTGTGTTTCTTGTAGCAGTTGTTAATTTTTCATTGAGGTGAAGTAGTCCCCTTGTATGAATATACTATGACTTCATTATTCTGTTGATGGGCATTTGGATAGTTTCTGTGTGGGAGTTATATGTGTAATGCTACAGTGAACAATCTAGTACATATCTTTTGCGACACACACACACACACACAATTTCTCTTGGTATATACCTAGGAGAATTCTTGGGTCATATGCATATGTTCAACATTAATAAATGCTGCCAACTGATTTTCCCAAGCAGTCAACTGATTTTCCCAAGCAGTTATACCAATGGTTACTCTTTCATCGCTAAGAGTTCCAATTATTGGGGGTGGGGGCAGGTTGGAGAGAGTCCATGGGGAAAAAGGGGGACATCTGTAATACTTTCAATAATAAAGAGAAATTAAAAAATAAAACCTAAAAATAAAGTTCCATTTGTTCTACATCCTAGCCAACATTTGATATTGTCAGGTAAAATTTGAGTGGCAAATTATTTTTATCTTAATATAGTAAAAGAACAATTTATATCTGGAAACAACATACATCTTTAGAAAGACTCCCAAGTAATCAGTAAAGGATAGGTGGAAATCCAGAAACAATACTAAGATAAACATGAGTGAATTAATTTGAGTAGGATATTTGAAAAAATTAAACTTTCATAGGAAAAGGGAATAGTCACTTTTACAGGGGAAAAAAATGGTTTTGTAAATTTTAACCTAACGGGATTATTTTTAAAGTTTATTAAGAACACCATGATATACTAAAAGTTCCTTTTGAATAGTAGTTATTTGGATAACCAAGATAATTTTAAACATGATCACAGTGCAGGTATATTAGGAACAGAGTAATAGGAGGCATATATGGTCGTTCCGTTGGAATCTTATGCACTTAAGTCATAAGATAAAATTATAATTCTAAATACAATAGTTTACACATGGATCATTACTTATTTTGTCAAAACCACTACCCACCTTGTCTCCTTCAACCAGTCCATTATTATGTATTTTGGGTGTTCCTCCAAAATATATTTGAAATCTTACCTATTTCTACTATTGTTGCCTTCATCCCACTTCCAGTCATCTTCATCTGTTGCCTAGAACACTACAGTCATCTCCTAACTACTTTCATGCTGCTTGTTGTGTCCCTAAAATCCATTTCTGTATATTAGCTATACTGATCCTTAGCACAAAAGCCATGTAACTTCACTGCTGAAAGACCTCTAGTGGCTTTCTTCTGTTCTTAGAACAGCACCCTCTGGTTCTTCAGTCATCTCTCATGCTTTTCTTCCCCCTTGCTCTTTATGTTCTAGCCATGCTGGTCTTTTTTGTTGTTTGTTTTTTCCTTGAATAAGCTTAGTACTTTCCTACTGCCTGTCTGTTACATTTTATTTTCCTTATGTCTAAAATGTCCCTAGTATTTTTATGGCTGACTCAATTCTCAACTTCAAGTTTCTGCTTGGATTTCATTTCCCTAGAGATGCCTTTTTTGATCACCTCATGTAATATTGGTCTGCCCAAGTTATTGTATATTAATCAGTAGTAGTTGTTTTCTTTGTTACAGTTATCACAATCTTTATATTGTTTGTTTGTTTTTTATGTTTTCCCTAACTTGAAAGTAATCTCTAACACCTTATTTGTCTATCCTATATAATAAAACCCTAGTATGCAAATCGACCGGTCACTATGGCGCGCACTGACCACCAGGGGGCAGATGCTCAATGCAGGAGCTATCCCCTGGTGGTCAGTGCACTCCCACAGGGGGAGCGCCACTCAGCCAGAAGCTGGGCTCACGGCTGGCGAGCGCAGCGCAGGTGGTGGGAGCCTCTCTTGCCTCAGCGGCAGCGCTAAGGATCCCTTGGGGGATGTTTGATTGCCAGCTTAGGCCCGATCCCAGAGGGGTCCCGGTCTGCAAGAGGGCACAGGCCAGGCTGAGAGGACCCTCCCTCCAAGTGCACGAATGTTATGCACCGGGCCTCTAGTTGTAAATAATGCTGCAATGAACATATAGATATATATGTCTTTTTAATTTAGTGCTTTGGGTTTCTTCAGATAAATACCCAGTAGTAGAATTGCTGGGTCTCTTTTTGTCTCGTGGTAGCCTTGGTTTTAAAGTCTATTTAATCTGGTATAAGTATTGCTACTCCAGCATTTTGTTTGTTTGTTTCTATTTTCATGAAATATCTTTTTCCCTTTATTTTCATTCTCTGTGTCTCCTTTCATCTGAAGTGAGTCTCTTAGACTGCATATGTAAAGGTCTTGTTTTGTTATCCATTCAGCTACCATATGTCTTTTGATTGGAGCATATCATTCATTTGCATTTAAAGTGATTATTGATAGGTATATAGTGATTGCCATTTTATTATTCATTTTTTAATCCTTTTTTTTCTCTTCTTAAAAAAAGACCCTTTAACATTTCTCATAATACTGGTTTGGTGGTGATGAACTCTAGCTTTATATTGTCTGGGAAGCTCTTTATCTGTCCTTCGATTCTAAATGATAGCTTTGCTGGATAGAGCAGTCTTTGTTATAGGTCCTTCCTTTTAATCACTTTTAATATTTCATGCCAGTCCCTTCTGGGTTGCAAATTTCTGTTGAGAAACCAGCTGATAGTCTTAAAAATATGGAATGCTTCATGAATTTGCCTGTCATTTGTGCCGGAGCCATGCTAATCTCTGTATCATTCCAGTTTTAGTATATGTACTGCCAAAGCGAGCACCCTTAATGGTTTTTTAAAACATTTAAAATGCCTGAGTTACATGGTCGTGATCAGTTGATCCCTCACAATCAAACAGTTAGAAATCCAGTCTTCTGATAAAATTTCAACTCTTGCTTTCTATGAAAGCAGATTATTTTCATTTACAATGGTATGGAATATCCCTGAAAGCTTTAAATATCTTATTAGTATCATTACTCTCCTTAACTTAATTTTTACACTACATTTACAGTTTCTCTGTTCTTCTTCAGTATGCATTCTGAAACCGAGAGAAAGGCAGAGCAAAAGATTGTGGTTTCCTTTCATTATTTAAGCTAAATTACCAGAAATGCCCTTTAAAATTAAATATTTAGTCACGTCAAAACAAGTCACTTTAGAGGAAGAGGGCAGCCTTATTTAGCTCATGTTTTTCTTACAAGAAGTATTGATGTTTCATGCAAGCATGCTGTGGTAGGAGACTTTACCTCCCAGCCAAAAACAGTCCTTTCTGTAGGACTGCCATAATATTGTATTGAAAGATTAAAAATTTCTGTTCCAAGGGTGGGAAACAGGCACTCTTAACTTAAGCACTATTGTTTTTAGTACACATTTCTGGGTGTCCATTGAGACTGTGTGTGTGTGTGTGTGTGTGTGTGTCTGTGCACTCATATACACACAGCAATCTGATGAACTAACCTAGAAATAAGGTTTTTCTGGTTCAAAGGGTGTGCCAGACACATACACACATATTATGTGCACCTTTGAGACAGAAATCACACTTCTAGGTATAGTTCATCAGATTGTTGTTTATGTTAGTGAAAAAAGTGAGGGGATGAGAACCCTTCATATGCATTAATGGGGGGGTGGGAATAATTAAATTATAGTATAGTTATTGCATAGATTCTATAAAATGGAATACTATGAGGTCATAGCATATATTGCAATGGAAAGCTTCACGATAGTACATGAAAATTGAAGCTCCTTTTTTAATAAAAATGTATATATGTTTAAGAAAATAGTCTAAAAAGATATACAGCAAAATAGTTATAGTGATTATTCTCATGATGATGAGAGTAAGAATGTTTTTCATTTTCCTCTCTATTTAATTCTTTCCAGAGACTATTTTTTCCTAAGTACTGTGTATTTAATATGAGCAAGGAAAAAAAGGAAGAAAACCTATTTTCATTGCATCACTAAAGAAGTTCAAACATAACTTTAGTAAAGTTGTCATGGAAGTGATTTAAGCATCAAGTGTTCTTGACATTTTGCCTTGATAACACATCAAATGCTTGTAACTATTCATATTTACAAAGCTGCCTCACTAAGTCCATCAACATTGTACAGCTAAGCGATACTCAAGCCAATATTCCTGAAGTTTCATTTGGTACATTAAGCAGTTGCTTAAAAGAACTAGTTTTCTTTATTAATACATTATGTAATCATGCTCATGAGTACAATAATATGAAAATTCATGTTAATAACACAAGTATTTGTTCACAGACTATAAACAGCAGCCACTATATGACCTTGGTCATGCTCTTAAAGGAAATATCAAGGAAGATGCACTAAAGTTGATGAGAAACCAGCTGATGTTTAAGATGTGGACAAGATGGTATCCTGCTCATGGTCAGGTTAACAATAATACATAAGTTAAATATTTTTAGAATTTTGCGTCTTCAGCTTTATTCCCAAATGATGTTTAGAAAAGGGACAAAATGAAGACAACGCACAAAACTATTAATAAATATAGGACATGAAAAGAAGTAACTGCCATCCCCACTAACCAAATGCCTAGTTTTCCTAACAGTATAGTTGACCCTGTCATATTTGTCACATTTGTCTGCTGAGGCTACGTCTGCTACCCAGATTCCTCAGTCCCATTTAGCCTCAAATGAGCAAGTTTCCTACGCTGCAGGATTTTTGCAGGAGGCTATCCACCCCCACCAGCTTTCACATTGTCTAGTCCATATCCTGCCTGAAATACTCTTCCCCCCGGTTCTTGCTTGGCAAACTCCCTTACTCCCTGCACGTCTTTGCTCATAGGCTACCTTCCCAACAAGGCCTACCCTGGTCGTGTAATTTCAAATTGAACCTGTGCCCAACAGCCCCTTTGCTGATCTACATTTTCTTTTTCCCATTGCACTTAACACCTTGCAGTAAACCTAGAACAGTGATGGCGAACCTGTGACACGCGTGTCAGAGGTGACACGCGACCTCATTTTTTTGGTTGATTTTTCTTTGTTAAATGGCATTTAAATATATAAAATAAATATCAAAAATATAAGTCTTTGTTTTACTATGGTTGCAGATATCAAAAAATTTCTATATGTGACACGGCACCGGAGTTAAGGTAGGGTTTTTCAAAATGCTGACACGCCGAGCTCAAAAGGTTTGTCATCACTGACCTATAATTTACTGTTGACTAGAGGCTTGGTGCACAAAATTTGGGTAGGATCCCTAGTCCTGGCCGGCGATTGGGGCCTTCCTTCCCCGGCTGCCAGCTGCAGGCTGGGGCCTTTCGCCTTCCACGCCGCCCCCTGGTGGTCAGTGCACGTCATAGCGAGCGGTTGAACTCCCAGTTGGTTGAATTCCCAAGGGGACAATTTGCATATTAGCCTTTTATTATATAGGATGTCTGTCGTCTCTGCTAGACTATCATTGTGAGGGCAGACATCTTTGTTTTATTCATTGATGTATCTATAGGTGCCTACAATAGTATCTAGCACATAGTAGTCTCTTATCAAATAAGTATGCGTTAAATGGATGAATAAATATACATGATTGTTTATTATGAGTTACTTATGCAGTGACAGGCAGTTTTCAGTAGAGCCTTCAGTATTCACATAGTTAAAACCATCACACATTTTTGTGTTTGAACAGTATTGTCAGTGAAATAGAACTGCCTTGGTCCTGAAGTACTTTCTGCCTATGAGTCAGCATGTTGGCTGTAGCTGCTTTGGTTGGAGTCGAAAATCTCTGCTGCTTTGTGTCCTGGCCCCATGCAATCCGTTAAGGTTTTCTCCTACCTTTTGGCCTTCCTCCTGATGTGCCCTTTCATATCTCTTGTAAAGATCAGCCTGCTAGGTGTTGTTCTTAGACCAGAAGCTCTGAGCAAATACTCTGATATGTGTTGATTACAGGAGTGACCCACTATGTCTGTTCTGATATCTAACTTCAGAGCTTAAGAACATCTTAGAAATTCTCTAGTCCAATTCATTTTAAAGTTCAAGAAACAGAAGAACCAAGAAATTAAGTTAATTTTCTAAATTCACAAAACTAGCTAGAAGCAGTTCTATGACTGGAATACTTTGTCTGAGTGTCTTGCTGCTGTTGTTTGTTTTCTGTCCTTTTAATTTTTTTACATTTTTTATTGGGGTGGCATTGGTTAATAAAACCATACAGGTTTCAAGTATATAACTCTACAACACATCCTCTGCATAATGTACTGTGTGCTCACCACCCAAAGTCTTTTCTGCCACCATTTTATTCCCTTTTGCCCTCTTCTGACCTCCCCCCAACCCCCTTGCCCTCTGGCAATCACCATACTGTTGTCTGTCTGTTTTTTGTTTGTTTGTTTGTTTTTGCTTAATCCCTTCACCTTTTTCACCCAGTCCCTCAACCCCCCTCCCCTCTGACAGCTATTAGTCTGTTCTCTATCTATGAGTCTGTTTCTATTTTGTTTGTCAGTTTATTTTGTTCATTAGATTCCACAAATAAATGAAATCATGTGGCATTTGTCTTTCTTTGACTGGCTTATTTCACTAAGCATTCTACTGTCCAGGCCCATCCAGGCTGTCACAAAAAGCAAGATTTTGTCCTTTTTTATGGCCAAGTTGTATTTATTCCATAGTGTTATTGTACCAAAGCTTTTTTATCCACTCATCTACTGATGGACACTTGGGCTGCTTTTAAATTTTGGCTGTTGTAAATAATGCTGCAATAAACATAGGGGTGCATATATTCTTTCAAATTAGTGTCTGTTTTTTAATATACCACATTTCTACAGCAGAGAGCAAAACCAGTTTCCTCATGCCCTCTTCTATTCTGTCAACACAACTCTTTGGTTTTTCCCTTCTCCTCACTCATCTTCTTAAGGAGGGTCCAGGTTTCTCCAAATCTTATTTCCAAGTATAGGACCTATTCCATCATCCCAGCCTAAAGCCACCTAACCCTTCCCCACATGTGTCTGTATTTGGGGAAGGCAGTTCCACTTTTCTAGTTCCTCATTACTGTGATACTCAGCTTGGGGACCGGAGAAGGTATAGACTGACATCAGGTAGCTGCTGTACTCCTTTTGACTCTTTCTCTTTTGACTGTCTGACCACACCGCAGGAGTACCCTGACTTGGTTCACCTCTCCTCAGGAGCTCTTCACCTCCCTTGATTAGTATCTCCTGCGTCTTAACTTACTGAAGCTGTGGTCTCAGTGTGCAGAAGGGGAAAGAAACACAACACTACATTTATCTAGTACTTTTTCCTACATTATCTCCTTTGACCTTTTCAGCAACCTTTTGTGTTAAGTGGGAACAGATATTCTTGTTCCCTTTTTTTTACTGACAAGGAAGTGAAATACAGATGAGTAGAATAAATGATTTGCTCTGTCTTTCAGCCTCTGAGTGGCTGGACTGGAAACTGAGCCTCCAAATCCTAGTTTATATCTTTTCTACTGTCTCCTATTTTAGTGTTGACAGAGAGACAAAAATGAATCACTGATCGGTATTATGAAATGCACATAATATCTTTTCTTCATGAAGATCTTATTCAGTCTTTTAAAGTATTCTGAGAATGTGAATCTGAGTTTCTTTACCTTCTTGGTTTTAGAAAAGACCTCAGGGAGGAGGGGCTCTCTCTGAAGCATGCCCACGCCTTTCTTCCCTCTCAGGCATGCAACTTTACTTTTCTCTCCTAAACTCTAACTATCTCCACGAGACTTGCAACCACAGGAGCAACAGGCAGTGGCAGTTCATCCCAGGCTAACCCCTGAACCTGCCTGTAATGCACCCTCTTCTCTGACCTTTCAGTGCG